ATGTCAAATCAAGAAGTTTGGAATTTCACTGTAGACCAGTAAAAACAGAAGAGTTTCACATAAAGCAATATTTGGGAATACTGTGTTAGAGACGTGCAGGACAGATGGGAGCAAAGAGTGCTTGGAGGCAGTTAGAAATGGGATCTAATTAAACTTAAAAGCCCTGCACAGCAAAAGAAGCCATCAATAGAGTGAACCGGCAACCAACAGAATGGGAAAAAAATTTTGCAGTCTACCTATCTGACAAAGGGCTAATATCCAGAATCTATGGAAAACTTAAAACAAATTTAAGAAACCATCAAAAAGTGGGCAAAAGATATGAACAGACACTTTTCAAAAGAAGACATTTATGATGCCGACAAACATGAAAAACTTGTCATCACTGGTCATTAGAGAAACGCAAATCAAAACCACATTGAGATACCACCTCATACCAGTTAGAATGGTGATCATTAAAAAATCTGGAGACAACAGATGCTGGAGAGGATGTGGAGAAATAGGAACACTTTTACACTGTTGGTGGGAGTATAAATTAATTCAACCATTGTGGAAGACAGTGTGGTGATTCCTCAAGTATCTAGAAAAGAAATACCATTTGACCCAGCAATCCCATTACTGGGTATATACCCAAAGGATTATAAATCATTCTATTATAAAGACACATGCACACACGTTTATTGCGGCACTGTTCACAATAGCAAAGACTTGGAACCAACCCAAATGCCCATCAATGATAGACTGGATAAAGAAAATGTGGCATATATACACCATGGAATACTATGCAGCCATTAAAAAAATGAGTTCATGTCCTTTGCAGGGACATGGATGAAACTGGAAACCATCATTCTCAGCAAACTGACAAAAGATTAGGAAACCAAACACTGCATGTTCTCACTCATAAGAGGGTGTTGAACAATGAGAACACATGGACACAGGGAGGGGAACATCACACACTGGGGCCTGGAGGGTGGGGACTAGGGAAGGAATAGCAGGGGGTGGAGGGATTGGGGAGGGATAGCATTAGGAGAAATACCTAATGTAGATGATGGTGCAATGGATGCAGCAAACCATCACCATGGCACGTGTATACCTATGTAACAAAGCTGCCCGATCTGCACATGTACCTCAGAACTTAAAGTATAATAAATAAACTTTTAAAAAAAGAAAGCTACAGAAAATCCAGGTGTCAAATGATTGCGACCACCTGGGGAGTAAGTACAGCATTAATTATTTCTAGTTTCATAAAATACAACTCAATTATTTTGGAGTTACACTACAGATGTAATATCAAGATTTTTCATAGGATGCTACCAAAATAAAATTGGTGACGTGTGTGTTAGTTTTCCAACCTTTCTAGTAACTGATCAATTTTAGTGATAAACAGAAGATGAAAGAGAAAGGATTTTTATTGTGTTTACATTTTATTTAATAGGTTGTGACTTCTGTAGTATTTCACTTTCCATGTCCAGTCAATTTGGCATTGTGCTTTCAAGCACTGCTGGCCTGATAATAGAGAAAAATCTAATTTCAAATGAATTCAATTAACTTCAGGGAAATGAAAATCTTGGCTTAAACTTAAATATTGCAAACTCCAAAAACCTGGCAGTGATCCTTTATGTGTTCCAGACAATTACTGTTCCAAATGCACTAGGTGAGTTCCTAATTTGTCATCAAACAGAAGAAACTTGCAACACTTAGAAGTGAACTTTTGCCTGTTTTATCAACAAACACATCAGTAGAAGAATAGCTTCTGAGGACACCAGTTTGAGTAACAAGAATTTGAATGAACAGAACTCAAATACCCCTAATTTACTATAGGAAACTGCCTGGGAGTAAAGACAAACTGTTTAAACCTAATTTTTCTTTTCTATTATAAATCTGATGTTTGGGGCATATCAAGGATGCTGACCATGTTGGACATATCCATGTGGAAACAGCACATTTTATCACCCCAGAGCCAGGCAGACCTGTTGCAATTTGATTCCTCTATCTGAGCTGTTAATAGCTTTATTTACAAAATAGGAAAACAGTCAAGTACTGCAATCCTGAATTTTCCCTTTGACCTGGTGTTTGTGGCAACCACTGTGTGTAAGCCACTGAAGTTTTGGTGCTATTGCCACCTTCTTTTCAGGCTGCAGAAAGTCCTTTTAAAAGGATGTGGCTAAATCACTGCTTTTTTCCTAGTCCATCAGGTCGTGAGTGTGTGTGACACTCAAGATCGCTAGTGGATCTTGAATACTGAGTACTCAATGAAACAGAGTCTGCACTGTTTCCATCCTCAGCACAACCCACACAAGGGAAAATGTTTGCCTTCCTCTCTCCCCAGTTTCTACAGAAATCCTTGTTCCCTTTACTGATTTCCATTACCACAGAACAAGTTTGTAGATCAATGTGTTTTTAGGCTTTGAACTTTCTGAATCATGGTTTCGGCACAAATTCTCCATAACTCGGATTTGCAGCATATAAAATACAGTTTGTTAACTAATCCTTTGCCTTAAGAGATGTTAGATATGGCCTCGGGGTTTTTAGAAGACATGAAGCCAGACAGAATTGGACCCTAATATAGTGTATATTAGTCTAAGAACACTGATGAATTAATAAGCTAAATGCCTAGGAAGCATAAAATTCACATCCATGCTAAATAGGAACATTCTTAATATTATACTCAGGGAATGACTTCAAGGTAGAAGTTTTCATTCTTACAAATGTTTATTTTCCTTCAAATTTATTGTGTTTTTCTGTAATGATGTGAAAAGTCTTCATTTCCCTTTTCCCCAGTGGTGAGGTTCAAAAAGCCAGATCTTAACCAGAAACTAATCTTCATCTCTTCAATGTCTTGTATGTTGATTTAGTTTCATATGTAGTTATATTAGTTTTCCTCAGGGATTTATACATTGATATATATATATATGTATGTGTGTGTGTGTGTGTATATATATATATATATATATATATATATATATATCCCTACACAGATATATACAAGCTTTTTATCCTCATCTTACCACTTGACAATACAACTTTAAGTATGTTTTACACAGCTGTTCCTTGGTCAAGGTCATTTGCAAGAGCAAGTCGGTTTCTGAAGAAATCTTGTTTGGTGGGTGAAGGATCCATTGAGAGATTCTCATTAGTTTTTTCCCTGTATTCTGATCCACTGGACCTAAAATCTCAGCACACAGATAAAGTACAGGTTGATTTGGTTTTAATTGTTTTCAAATATTTTATCTATCCCAATTGTTTTGCATTTGTAAAACAGTTGCTTCCTAGATCTGGAATACTTTTTACTCCCCTGAATTTCATGACTTAGGATATGTGTATCTAAGATTTGCACTGAACATAAAGAGAGTATCTTTCTAATGCTTTATGGGGACAATTGAGACAACTATATATGTCAGTGTAAGATACTGTATAATAACATCATAATAGGGGAACAAAAGCTCAGAAAATTTAAGAAATCCTGTTTTTGATTCAGTGAAGTAACAACTCCACAAATTACCAAGGCCCTTAAATTAAAAGGATGGAATTCATGGTTCTCAACCAAGATTACCAAGGACCTTCACTGAATTTGGTATTACATTACAAACTCTTGCTTCTGCTTGTTTTCATTTTTAAATCAAAGATTTATTGAAGCCAACCACACATATATGCTACATTTGGTAGAATGCAGAAATTCGTACAGTAATCAGATTGCAGAGATACTATAATCTCAACCACCACAAAAGAGACCAAAGCCAATCAATAGTCAACAACTCAGATCAGTCCATTTAAGTCCCCAGTCGAGGGTGCATTCTTCCTTTATCTTGGTTAAGCCACTTGGGTAATCCATTCCAGCTCTGTACCTTCTCCAGTTTTCTCATGTCAGAAGTCCCTGGAGGGAGGAGGCTTTCTGGAAATAATCTCTAAGCTAGACTGGGGCCCTTTGGCTAGCTTAAACTCTAACCTAGAATGGGTAAAACTAGTCCAGACACTCAGAACCAATATCAAAAAACCTCATGCAGGGTGTATGAAAGTGATGTTAGACATGAAGTTCTTTGTCCAAAGTTCCTATACAACTGATCAAGTTCTCCATATGCTGAGGCTGTCAGGTACACTTCCACTATCCACCAAAGAAGGGTCCAGGTCTCTGAGTCCTTGCACTATCATTGGTTTGCTACTCTTGTTATTAGATAAGTTAATGACTATCATTTACTGAATTAATGGGCAGAATTCAAACATCTCTTTACATTATTCAAGGAAAGAAGCTGGATCCACAATGACTAAAAACCCTTACGTCTGGAAGCCTAGTGACTGACTAGGTATTTTCACTTTGCACCCTGATAATCAATGTCACAGATGAAGCCATAGCCACCCGCCATGCTTTCTACTTTGGGTTTGTAAGGAGCACTTTTCCACTACATCCCAGTGCAGAGAAGAAAAACTATTCTCTCTCTCAACTCCCGTACATCTGGGTACTCATCAAGCAAGATATCTGAATGGGATGAGGTTCTCTTCCTTTTCAGGAACCCCCCTCCCGAGTTCTCCCTTGAAAGCTTCCACATGGCCCACCCTAAAACTCCAGGTCTTCTCTCATCTTTCATAGATCCCCCTACCTCCAGTTCAAATCATCCCTGATTAATGCAGTTGTACCCCAAATTTAGGAAGATGTATTTTTGACTATTCCATTCTTTCTCTATGTCTTCCAATATGCAGAAGACAAGGAATGCCTACAGTTTTGGGGGCAGGAAGTAGGGAGCAGGATTTGAATTGGGCTGCTATTTCTTCTTGTTCCCCACAGGACAGTTTCTCATCAGAAAGTCATTAGTCAAAACTTGAAATCTTCACCTGGTATTTCCCCTCTTGGCTACATCTGGTCTCTCCAAAACCCAATATGTCACACTTTGATGGTTCCAACATGCAACTGTTTAGTGTTTACCTGAAAATAGGAAAGCTTTGATGTCACCACCAGCCCCAAGGACCACAGAAATCTTCACCAGTTGCGTTCCCATTTCTGAAACAAATGCCAAAATCGCCCTGTCTAGTTTTCAAAGTCCACAAACTCAGCTTAAATTTTTTTAACTGCTCTTCTCACAAATTGTACCTTCCCTGTCTCCAGTGTCTGAATTTCTCTGAATTTCTTGATATTAATTAAACAGCTAAATTGCTCATCCTTTTCAAAATCCAGCAGTCTACTATAGCCATGACTAGAAGCTCATTTTCATCCTTGTAAAGATCATTTTAACTGACCTCTTTATAATGCTTACGTGTATACAGCCACCTGGACTCTTCCAAAGGTGTGACTGTTAGGCTCTGAAGTACTGCATACCTAAATTACTAGGAAATAACCTGTAGAACCAAGGAGAAAAAGCCAGATGATCTGCTTTTATTACCTTTCTCTATGAAACAGAAATGGCTTTTGAGCTCCTGGAGCCATTGCGGCTGACTGCAGGGCATATCTGAGCAGACATTAAAGGAACAGGTAGGCAAACACTTGCTGGGGAAGGGTACAGTGGCTGCCAGGACATACTGACACATAACCATCCAAGTATTTGATGGAAAGAAGAAAAGACAACAGACCTGTTGCTAACTTTCCTTTCACTCAAGGGTGACAAAGAAAATAGCAAATTGAATTGGTCAGACAAGGTCTAGATTTGCTATCAATAAACCTGGAAAGCTTGTTTGGAGCTGGGGATGGGAGTAGTTGAATCCAGTGCTGCAAAAACCTCTGACTTAAGAAGGCTTGGTTCTCTGATTGGAAAGACCATCTTCCTTGAAAGCTTTAGGAGACATGCATCTGTCTCAAGAAGTAAAGGGCAAGAAAACACCCATCCTGTCAGCCAGTCAGCCAGCCCCGGTAATCAAAGCAACAGCCTTGTGTGGCTCCACCTTTATTTCCACTCAGACAACACTTCAGATTTTAAATACAAAGGACAGCACCAATATCATGGAGGCAATCTGATTGATGCAGGAGGGTCTGTTCTATGAGAAAGGACAAGAGGACTAAGGGAATCCACTGGCCCTTTACCTAAGGAGAATCCCAAACAGCTGCAAGAGGACTGACAGCAATTAACCAACATGAGTTTGGAGCGCCCACAGCAAATGAGCATTTATTTAATGTATATTAGTTGAGTGCCTACTATGTGCTACGTATTACACCTCATATCAATAGTTAGGTTACCCTTACATTGATCTGTAAGCTCCTAATGGGCAGGAATTATTTCTCTTACATCTTTTGTGCTGGACAGAACCTAGTATATTGAAGACCCTTAATTGAATGGTTGATTTCAAATGGCTTATTGAGAAACATCTGTAATCAAGGTTAAGTAATCTAAAATATCTACCCCTTCAACTATCCCCTTTAAAGTTATATAGGAAATGAAATGGAGAATGAGAAAGAACCCCAAACTGAGTAAGAGTTGGAGAGGGACTTGAAATGAGCTTTAAGGAGACAGAGAATAGGTGAGATCAAGTTATCAATGGATTCTTTAGCAGCCCTGCTTTCTAGTACATGGTCTGTTCAACAGCTGAAGCTGGGCATATACAAAAACTGCTGGGAAGACACCAAAATAAGATGATTCACTGAGATGAAATGATTACATTCAGGGCCCTGTAGAAGTACTCTCTCTGTGTGTGATTAAGAAAATAGATGGTGATGGGATTGGTGGAGGGAGGGTGATGACAAGGAAGGAGACACTCTGACGCATGTAAATTTTAAAGCGCTAAAGAGGAAGTGGATGAGCAAGGAAGTAGAATTAATCATTTGGAAGCCATATTCTTTATCTTCTACTCCCCTGAAATCCGAGGATAAAAGAGAGAGTACCATCTACATGCCCTATTCCTAAGCTGTCTCATGTGATCCTCTTCCCCACTGCCACATCTGCCATCGACAACACTTGTTAAGTGGTGCAAGGTGTGTATATTAAGGTGACGTATAATTTGCCCCAGACTTCACAATAATCTAGGTTTAAGTCTTTGACAGCCTCTGTACAGATCTGTCTAGAAGGGGCCAGTTTGTTTTCCATCCTGCTCAAAGGCAAGGGAATAAGTTCCAGTCTAGCATCAGCCTACCACCGTAACTCTGTTCCCTCTAAGAATACTCATTTAAAATGTTTAAAATTATTTAACATTTCCAAACTTTAAGATATGTAACCTTTATTCTGATCAATTCTGGGTACCCTTCAGGGACATGTGACCTTGTATCTACCCAGGACAAATGTGCCTGAGATGGAAACAATCAGAAGGTCATTCTTTTCCCCAAATATTGTGGGCATTTTTCAGGATTTTTTTAATGATGTCAACTTGACTCTCCCTTTTGAATCCTTGTGGGTATGAGCCTTCGGCCCTCCCAGCCTCAGAGGGAAGAGAACCCTTTCTCAGGTTTTCTGTTGCATCTGGCTCCATGCCTAGCTTCATCCCGAAGCAGCATTCTGGGTGTGTGGGGCCACCAGCCAAACAAGCCCCTATGGAACAAAAAGTGTATCAGTGTAGACAGGAATGAGCCTCCAGAGGGCTGTGGGGGAGGAAGGCAGTGAGCCCCAGACATGACACAAGTGGCTTTGCTGGCACTGGCCCATGTGAACCTGTGAGGCCAGGCTCTGCAATGGTTCCAGTACTCAGGATTGGCCACTTCTTAAAGTCCCAGGGCTTGCTGCCAGCCTGACCTCCTGACATGCAAAAGGAGAATGGGCTGAATGTCTCTTCTGGTTCCTTCCTATGCCTGTCCACAGGCCTGACTTCAGAGTGCAAGTTCCTGTGTAATGGCTGGGACTATGTCTTTCATGATTCCTATACAAGTGTCTTGCATAGTGCGTGCATATAAGATTGAATGCTTAATTGATGAGAAGAATGGTGTGTTCTCATTAAGTTAAAAGCCACTGCCCTTCCTGTGCTACACTGGGGCCTCCCTGACCTTCCTCTCTACTTTATAATGGAGCAGACTTTCTATCGTCCTCACATGAAAACACTCAGAAAATGCTACTTAAGCTGCCTCTTCAACCCATGCAAAGTCTCCAGGGCGCCCACTGCAGCACCCCAAGCACCTGATGGTACTTGGGTGCTTGTATCCTAGGCCAGATCTAAAAAGCCAGGAAAGCCTGCCAGACGGTCACCTGTGTGGCTCCACCTTTACTTCCACTCAGACAACACTTCAGACTTTAAATACAAAGGACAGCACCAGTATTGGTGGCGACAATGTGATTGATGCAGGAGGGACTGATCTATAAGAAAGGACAAGAGGACTAAGGGAATCCCAAACAGCCCCAAGAGGACTGATAGCAATTAACCAACATGAACTTGGAGAACCCATAGCAAGTCCTCTGCATTGTACCAAGGTCGGTGGGGAGTTACAAAAAGATAAAACCTGGTCTTCTACATGCTAGGGCTTTAAAATTGTAAGTCCCAAAGCTTCATTAATTTCTTGTTTCAGGTGATAAAAAGATGTGATTACCCAGATTGAACTACAACAAAGACAAACTACAGATAAAGTAAATCCCCACACTAGAAAGGACGCTGGTGATTTCTTAAACAATCTCCCATTTGGTGCAGGGATCACTTTCATAGCATCCCTGACCACAGACCTCTCATGAACCCATTCCCTCACGATGTAGCCAGCTTCAGTTCCAGGCAGCTGCATTTTTAGGAAATTCTTCCTCTTAGCCACTGCTCCTAGTTCTGCCCTCTGAATCCAGAGAGGATAAATACCCTCCCTCTGCCTCATGTCACTGGCAAAACATTTTCTTACATCTCTCTGACAAATAGGAATTGTAAAGGAACCAGTGGTGGATCTATTGCTCATTGCTTTCCAACAGACAGCACCCAGTCATTACAAATGACAGTGGGCAAAAAGTGGCTGTTTTGGGAATACTTTGGTTTAAAAAAAAAAAAAAAGATAGGCTCAAGCTGTGCCCTTAGGATTTTGGAGTCCTTAGAAGGATTCAGGAGTCTGGCTGGGCACGGTGCCTCACACCTGTAATCCCAACACTTTGGGAGGCCAAGGCAGGTGAGTCACTTGAGGTCAGGAGTTCAAGACCACCCTGGCCAACATGGTAAAACCCCGTCTCTGCAAAAAATACAAAAACAAAACAAAACAAAAGTAGCCAGGGGTGGTGGCAGGTGCCTGTAATCCCAGCTACTCGGGAGGCTGGGGCAGGAGACTAGCCTGAACCTGGGAGGCAGAGGCTGCAGTGAGCTGCGATTGTGCCATTGCACTCCAGCCTAGGCAGCAGAGCAAGACTCCATCTCAAGAAGGATTCAAGAGTCTAAATCCCAAGGGTGGACTGGAGAGGTATCTGTTTCCAGGTTCTCCCAACCCTGTCAACTTGGCAGATGTTGGCGCTGGGTCAAGATAGATCTATGATTCTAGAAAGAGGAATACAATTCGTAACTCTTCAAACCGTGAGTAAGATGGGTTGAGGATCCAGCAACAGCATGCAAGCACGCACTGGGTTCCTTGGCAAAACTGAGAGGGAATGCTGGGCTCTGGCTAAGTGTAGACCTGTTGCTCTTTCTTCCTCTTCCTCCTTCTCCAGTAACAACAGGTACCACTAATCTTAGTACCACCCTCCCCACAGGAGAACAATTACAATTAGACAAACCAGCAAAAACAAAGTCCTCACTTCAGGGCTGCCCCCAATTCCTCCATTAAGACCACAATCTAAATCAGCCAGTGACCTCAACCTTCAAGGAAAAGGTGATTTCCCTGTGCTTCCTCACTCATCAGCAGCTCTCCAAAGGCAGCAATAATGCCTCTGTTTAACTTTTCCATCCACTAAAATATGAAGACTTGTTACTTAAAACTGACTCTAAGAGCATCCTGCACCAAGAGTAACTAAGCAGCAGGGAAAATCTTTCTAGGGCAGAGGGAGGGAGGTCTGAGCCAGTGCAGACTGAAACAGTAGTCTCTCAGGCAGGCAGTGGCTGGACTGGCAAATCCCTCTATGGTCAAATGCTAATGCTCACCTCTCTCTTCCTTATATTTTATGCTGGGGTTTGGCCACTGCCTCCCAGACTGTAAGACAGTGCTGACCAAAATGCCTGGTGGGTGATGTTTTACACAACAATGATGACTTAGAATCTCAGAAGGACCACAGGAGGAAAATGCCTTGTTTTTCCTCCTATGGAATACAGAAACTACATTAAAGTGATTTCTAACTAGGGCCACGCCAAATCCACTCATTCAGGGAAAGCACTAACAGAAGTCCCAATAAACATGAATCAGCACCCAGGATGACAATAGGTCCCTAAATGCAGAAGTGCTGAGATCCCATAGAAAACTTTCCACAGATGGGGAGATCTGATGGAGCACCCATGACACCCAACCCCAGTAGTGGATCCTACTCCTCCCAGTCTAAAGGGGCTTGTCACCAGCTTGTTTCTCAAGGGAACCACCTCTGCCCACTCCTCTCGGGACACGCGACTTTGGGAACAAGGAAGGAGGGATAAAAGAAGAGGCAGGGCAGAGAGCTGAGTTTGCTTCTACTCTGGGAGATTAAAATGAGAAACAGCTTCACCCCGCAGGAATCATGGCTACTGGGTACAGGCACTGTACTTGAAGCAGTTGTGGGAGACCAGGCTACTTGATACTTATTATTGTTAAAACCTCAAGATTTAGCCCAAAGGGAAATGAGTTACAATGCTGTCTTGTCTAAGGGCTACTCACTTCTTTTTAAAGAGCTTGCGGAAGGAGCTGCGAAAGCCCCCTTTCTGGTCTTGCCTGGGATTCTGATCGCTGAAAGATGTTTGTTCACTTTCTCTTTCTTCTTTGGGACAGAATCTGGTAGTATCTTCTAAATGCATCTCCTGGAAACAAAAAAAGAGGTGTTTTTTTTTTTTTACTCCTTTCCAACGTTATTATGGATCCTGACTATGGGCAACTTTGCAATGTTGTCACTTTCCTCTCCCATGCCAAAAGACTACCAGTAGGCACCCAATCCCAACTAAAGCAAACCTAGGCTAATGAAGAAACCAGTAGGTGAAAAGAGGATAATTTTCTGTTGAGTGTAGTATCTTCTACGTATCAAGGCAAATAGTCTAATGTAATATAACAATAATTAAAGGAAATAAATTTAGTTAATGTTTAAAAAGTGAATAAATTAAATTTTTATTTTGGCATCAACACTCTGGTGCTGGAAAACCAGTAGCAGTCCCCTCATATCTCCAGGTGTTTCTCTTTCTACAAAATAAGGATGTTCCTTATTTGTAATGCTAAAGTCATGTTCCTAACTCTCCATTTTAGACAAAAACGAAGGAAGGCATTTTTGAGAAGTCAGACCTGTTTAGAAGTATAAATGTCAGCTAATATTTCCAACCTGCAAATACACCTGTAATACAGTTTTTTCAATTCTTAACCCATGCTATTTGGAGTATAAAGTAAAATAAGTTAAAAATAAGGCTGTATCTTTTGTGAACTCTCTAGTTTCTTTTTAAATGTGAGATGTGCTAAATAGAAGTGCATGTATATTTATATGCAAACAAGTCATATATGCACTTATATACATGTTTCTATTCCATATGAACAAAGTGTTTACCTTGGGGTGACTGTAATTTAAAAGCAACCTAAAACTAGCTGCTGAATTTTGAAAAACCTTTAGAGAAGCCAAGAAGTCAAAGCAAAAACCACAACAATGATGCCCTCAAAGTTTAATGATTAGATGGGTGACTGCTTGCTGACAGAGAAACAAAGTGTGAGGATGGATTTTTTTCCCAGGAAACATATGGGTCTGACTTTCAGAAGTGGGGGTCACAGATATAGAAACTGAGATTCTACTGAGATTCCTAACTAAACCATGGAGATCGACATGCAGTGTTTCTTAAAGTATGGTCCTGTGACTACAGGATCAGCTCGGGCCTTTATTTAAAATGTAGCTTCCTGAGTCCCGTCCTAGACTTTCTGAATCAGAATCCTTGCAGTTAGACCTAGTTAATCCTTATGCACACTTAGATTTGAAAACGAATGATTTTAGGGAGGGGTCCTCAACTCCCAGTACCAGTCTGTCACCTCTTAGGAACTGGGCCACACAGCAGGAGGTGAGCAGTGGGGTGGGCGAGCCAGCGAAGCTTCGTCTGTATTTACAGCTGCTCTCCATTGCCTGCATTACTGCCTGAGCTCCACCTTCTGGCAGATCGGCAGTGGCATTAGATTTTCACAGGTGCACAAACCCTATTGTGAAATGCACATGCAAGGGATCTAGGCTGCATGCTCCTTAGGAGAATCTAATGCCTGATGATCTGAGGTGGAGCTGAGGCAGTGATGCTAATGCTGGCGAGTGGCTGCAAATACAGATTAACATTAGCAGAGAGGTTTGACTGCACAGAGACCATAATAAATCAATTGCTTGCAGACTCATATCAAAACCCTATCAGTGAGTGGCAAGTGACAATTAAGTTGCATCTGGTGGCAGGCTTTATAGTGGCAAGTGAGTTGATGTACTTCAATGGTACAGTTACATCTGGTGACCTTAAAAGTAGTTTTGAGACCATTTCAAATCTCCATATGTTCTGGACTAAAGTCAAGGAAGAATATCCTCAGATTGCCATGAAGCACTGAAAAACCTGCTTCCATTTCCAACATCCTATCTTTGCGAAACGGAGTTTTCTGTAGTGACAGCAACCAAAATGAGATTACAGAGTAGACTGGACATAAGTGACACACTTCGGGTGTCACTATCTCCCATCATCCCCAGATGGGACCATCAAGTTGCAGGAAAACAAAGTCAGGGTTCCCACTGATCCTACATTATTGTGAGTTGTATAATTATTTCATTATATATTAGAAAGTAATAATAATAAAGTACACAATAAATCTAATGCACTGGAATCATCCCCAAACCACCTCCCCAACCCCAGCCTGTGGAAAAATTATCTTCCCCAAAACCGGTCCCTGGTGCTGAAAAGGTTGGGGACAAGTGACTTAAGGCATGCTTCTGCCCACCTACACTTAATGTTTATATGAATCACCTGGGAATGATCCCAAATTCTGATTCAGTAGGTCTGGAGTGCAAATCCTGCATTTATAACACGTTCCAGGCAATGCATTTACTACTGCCCCCAAGGACCACATTTTGAGAAACGGGCTTTTAGAGACTATTTAGGGACTAAATCTATTAATGATTTAAGGAAAATCTTTCTGTGAAATCATGATCTCAATAGAATTTCATACTTTACAAAGCCCACTCAAAAACTGTATCTTATTTGGCCTGATCCTCACAGCAACCCTGTGAGGTAGGTTGTCTTTATTTTGAGACAACTGGAGGCAGAGAGAAGCCAACTGACTTGTCCAAAAGCACACAGTTACTGGGCAGCAGAGCCAGGAGTAGAACCTAGAGCTCCTGACAGAGACAGAACACTAAAGACTAGGCCTTAACTGGCTCTTCTGGGCAGGGTGAAAGATATACAGAGCACTTAAAGGGATGAAACACGAGGAGTTTTGCACATCTCAAAAGCAGAGTTGACACCTTTAAGGATAGAGCTTTTGGGGGTTCATCTTTTGCAACTAAAACCCCATTGCACCACCACCTCCAACACACACAAACAGGCAGATATACAGACATGCACACATGCACATCCATGCCCATGCACACATATATACCCACATGGCCTCTGCCCACCTGCGCTCTGCATGCCACCTCTCTCTAGGACTCCAAACAACTAGGGCCTTTTAAGTTTTGGAAAGAAAAATGTGTCCAAAACCAGAAATAAGTAATGGGAACTTGGTGTGCTTGAAAATTTTAATGATATTGCTAGAGAAAACGCATTTTTAACTGAATTCCATTTGAAATTTTCTTGGCATCTCATCCTGAACTGACTTGACTCATGTCTTACTCTGTTAGGAGATGAAACCTGCTGTCCGGTGTGTGCGATTAACCGTTCCTAATACATCGTTCGTTGTTATTTGGTATGTCTGGTAAAAGCCACAACTATATTATTCATTGTTTGCTTCTCAAATATATTCACTGTTATTTCTGATTAATCGTTTTTACCTTGCAATTGCTGAACTCCAAATTTTTCACAAACCAACTAGAAAAGGACATTTTTATTACATATGAAATAAAAGTGCTTTACAGTACAAACTATGCTAATTATACGGTTTTATATGTGAACCTCTGCTCATCCCAAGTCACACTGACTTGGCACTACGATTTCCATCTTACTTCCTTTTCTATAAACTTCTAAGCTTGTCACATGTCTAAGATTGATTTCTCCAAGAAATTCTGCCTAATCAAATTTTACAAAGCTTGGAGTTGAAAATCAGAGCTAGGGAAAATCTAACAACTCCAGGAAACCTCAGCAACGTTAGCTGAGCACACTATTAGGTGTTTTTGTCCTCTGCAGGGACCAGACACAGACTCTGACTGCTGTAGTGCAGGTGGGCAGCAACCTCCATGGCTCTTCCTGTTCCTCTGGCCTAATTTCCACCACTCTGACCTGGCACGGTATGCCAAGGAAAAGGCATCACCCTGCTTCTGTTATGCTTCCCTGCCTCACTCTTCCCCTAGCCAACTTCTAGGCAGCTTTTACAATCTCATTCAGACGTTCAACTTATCTAGGAGGCCTTCTGTGACCACCATGACCCCAAAGGTTTTAAATATCCCTCCCATGTGTTCCCATAGTTTATTACATAATTCTGTGTTTCTGTGTCTCCTTTCTGTACTAAGCCAGTGGTCCTGAAGGATAGAGACTTGTTTGTTTCAGCAATTAGCAAAGAGCCTGGTACAAGACAAGCATTCAGTGTTTGCTGAAAAATTAATGAATGAAAAAAGTCAGTGATCATCAATCTGTTCCCATTCGAAAATGAGAATAGTTGGAACAGAAGGGTGGTCGCACAGGTCAGAGCTATCATGTTACCTACTCTCTGCTTAAATAGATCAGAGCAATTATTTGCTCAGAAACTATTAGCACTTCATGCATAAGTATTTAAAGACCTCTTTAAATGACTTCCAGGCTTGCAGACACCACAGTGAGACATCAAAATATCAAACACCTGCAGATAGCCTGCAGGCAGTGGGGCTGGCCATCCGAATACCTCAACATTCACTGAGGCCAAAGAAGGTGTTTTTATTTTGCGATGTCCCTGTCCCAATGGAGTTTGCAAATTAATATGACACTTTTTTCCAGTCAAAAGGGAAAGCAAGCAGAAATAGAGGTGGCTTTGCAGCACACTGCGCAGCGACTCTACTCTGAGCTAGGGCAACTTGCCTCCTCTCTAGCTACAAGCAACACACTGGCCCGGGATCTGCGTGCTCTGAAAAAAGTGCAACTCTTCACCTAAGCAGGAAGAGTCCCCATAACGCCCTAAGTGTGTGTGTGATAAATCAGAGATAAAGAATCGCGGGCTTCTCTGCTATCTCTGCCGTCCCTCGTATACCATATGAGGCATGCTCTTTGGGTCCTGGTACTGGAGAACACGCGCGGCCACTCCCCTTCCAGGGCCACCGAGGCAGCCTACAGCTCGCGGGGTGCGCGCCTCCCCCGGCTCTCCCTCCGCCTCCGCCCCCCGGGCGCGCTCCCGAGCTCCTAGCCTGGCCCGGCCCCCCCGCCCCTCCACACTAGGAGAACTCGGGCTGCTTCCTGCAGATCTAGGCCTCGGGCCGCCGACGCTGTGGGTTTCGGTTCGGTGTTACTTTACCCTCCTTACTTCCAAATAGGTCTGTTTTTCGCTTTGGGACCTCTGTTGGGGGAAGAAAGTCCGGGGCGCGCCGCGGGCGGCGACAGCTGCGGCGGCCGGGCCGTGCGGCTGTGCGGCGCGCTCAGCCTTGATGGGCGCGCGGCCGCCGCTGCTGCTGCGCGTGCTGTAGAGGCGCGGGGCCACGCCGTCGGCGGGCGGCGCACGCGGGAACTCCTTGAGCGAGCGGCTCAGCGGCTTGGCCTTGCCGTGCGCCTGCGCCTGCGCCGCCGCCTCCAGCTTGTAGGCGCCGCTGCTGCCCGCCGGCGACGTGGCGCTCTTGGGTAGCGGCTGCAGCGGGTGCTCCGGCCGCTCGGCCTCCATGGCGAAGCTGACGGGCCGCAGGAAGCAGATGTCCAGGCTGGACTCAGAGGAGGCGGGCGAGCAGTTCTCGAAGAGGGCCGGGGCCTGGAACGGCTCCTCGTCGTAGGGCGCAGGGAGCGCGAAGATCTCGCCGCCGTACTCGAACTCCTCGTAGGCGGCGGGCACGAAGCCGCGGGCATCGGGCAGGAGCTCGGCCGGGGCGCGCAGGGAGCGCTCCACGTTGCCCAGCGGCTCGGCCGGAGAGGGGTCGAAGTCCATCTCCGGGATGGCCTGCAGGGGCCCGGCCAACGCCTTCACGTCCTGCTCCGCCGCGCAGAACTGCGTGGGCGCCAGGAGGCTCTCGGGCCGCTCGTGCTTCCTGCCCTCCAGCTCCCAGTCACTGGGCTTCCCGGGCTGCATGCTCTCCATCAGGCTTTGCTGCTGTTGGCTTTTCTTCACTGGGGGCATCAGATGTCTTTAGAAGGGAAACAGAGTACAAAAGAGGTGTGCTTACGGCCGGTGAGCGCCGGCCTCTCACCTGCCCGCGCCCCTCCTGGCCGCCACCTCCTAAGCTTCACAAATTTCCACTCAGGCGCTTCCACGAACCCCAGACCCCAGGCGCAGAGTGGAAATGGTAGTCTGTCGAGCGGAGGCCCGAAGGCATCGTCTGAGCTTCCGGAGATGGCCGGCGGGTCAGGGATGGCCATCACCCCACGTGGAATCCCAGGCCCTCCTCACCACCTGCGGTGCTCCAAGGCACGCCTTCAAGCTCGCTCTCCCTTGCTTGCCCTAGCAAAGTCATGCAAGATAATGGAAACTCAACTCTTTTTCGACTGGTGGATCTTCACACTCAAAAAACAAATTACGTTCCTAAAGTAAACGTAGGGTGATCTTGATAACTATTGAATCTGGATGATGGCAGGTGGGGTTCACCGTATTCTATGTAGATTTGAAATTTTCATAATAAAATTTAAAAAGTATTCCTTGTCGCTATAACACATGCTATATAATTCATCTCAAACTTCCTCCCACAAAGAATTACCAATATGTAAAAGCTGTCACTCTGGATATGCCCAATTTCATGGAGGGATTTTGGTTTTTGGAGTCATGGATAATGGATAATTTACACAGTTTACAAACTAGGATAGGGTACCATCAAATGGGATGTCCAGTTGTGCTGGACTTGAATTGACAGATGTAAATGGACACTGACCAGAAGTACTCTGCTAGTTTATATATTCATATTTTAATTCTATAAAAGTGCACAAAGACTTTGGGAGGCTGAGGCAGACGGATCACCATAGGTCAGGAGCTCGAGACCAGTTTGGCCAACATGGTAAAACCCTGTCTCTACTAAAACTACAAAAATTAGGCGGGTATGGTGGCATACACCTGTGATCCCAGCTAGTCTGGAGGCTGAGGCAGGAGAAATCCCTTGAATCTGGGAGGTGGAAGTTGCAATGAGCTGAGATCGTGCCATTGCACTTCCATCTCAAAAAACGAAAACCAAAAAACCAGAATGCTAAAACCAATATTTTACTCTGGTGGTCTTAAAATGAAAATTAGGTTTAACGTTAACATGTGAAAGAAATAGTGAAAATATTGACCTCATTCGAATTCTAACTTGGAAGAAAGATTGGGGATTTTATTTTCCACACAAAGTGCAGTGACAGCCTTACTATTCAGTCTGGGTATAATCTCTAGGGGTTTCATATTTTGGCTCTACTTGTTGCATTTCAAAGAAGATGAAGTTTTGTAACTGCTTCAAGAGTTGAAGTGATCCATGAAGTAAATATCTACTTTCTGCCTCTCTTTCCACTTTCTACACCTGTCCCTTAACATTAGTGCATTCCTCTGGGACCTAAGCATCTGGCTGCTTGGATGGCACATATAGGCCTGATGGGGAAAGGGACAGAGGAATCTAGGCTGCCCTGCTGACCCACACAAACTGGCTGGGTCCCAAAGGCATTGGCATTGACCTTCCCACAAGAACAGGTGCTTACGTGACGGCAGGGCCAGAACTGGGAGCAGAAGGGTAGGGTTGCAGCATTTCTTCTGAATGGATCCCAGTGTCACGGACAGCCTCAGGACCTGCAGTGGGGGAAGCATCTTGCCCGGCATTGGCACACTGGGAAGCCAGCCCTTTGTACAGCTTTGCCATGGATGACCTAACAGAATGGAAGTAATAGTTCTCAGGTTGTACAGTGGCAAAGTGGCTCTCTGAACACATAGATTATGCCAAAAAAGAGAGATGTCTCAGATAAAGTTTGCTGTGAAGGTCTCTGTCTCCAGGGCCTTTGCAAACTAAGTTGCTTACTTAATAGGGTGCAAGCTAGCAGGAGTAGGGAAGCTGATTAACAGGCTGAAAAGAGCTTGGGGGAAGGGCTGGGGTTGTGGAGAGACACATTCCATCACAGTAGCCCTGGCTTGGGAGACAGCATCTTTTTCTGGTCTGAAGCTTCCACAGAAATGATTCTGTTTTCCTTCACAGGAGTTGGGATGAAATTGAAGGAAATCCGGGTCGTTAGGAAGCTGTGCTGTGGGTTGCTTCTGTTCCCTCCAAAGCTCAGATTCTCCCTAATCAACCTTCCTATTTCTCCCTAATAGAAAACCTAACCAAAATTCCCCTCCCTTATTTGCTTTATTTTTATCCATATCACATATCACCAACTTATTTATTTGCTCACTGTCCAACTCTAAAAAGGAAGCTCCATGTGCCAAAGATTTGGTTGGGGCCATTTTGTTCCTTTCAATATATTCAGTGCATGGAACAGTGCATGGAACAGTGCCTGACATAAAATAGGTGCTCAATAAATATTTGTTGAATTAATAAAAGAAGCCATGTTGCGGACTTTTAACTGAAATTTTGACCACGCAAGTTTAGAGCAGTGAACCATTTTCAAGGTGGTTAGCAACATGGGACAAAAGGGTGTCTACGTAAGCAGTAGAGTGAAGTGTTTTTTTGTTAATTTCCCCTGGGTAGTCAGCGTCTTCCTCCTGTAGCCAGCCTGACCAACTCTTTCTCTCCCCTTTTCTGTTCCCTTCTACCTCCCATCACTGCATTTCAACTACTTAACACAACGTGGTTACTTGTGAAAGACACCCACAGTAACTGGTGTATATCTCTACTCTCAGAAGTCTTTGACCCTTTAGACTACACCATCAGAACCTTACTTCTTGAGCTTTTTCCGTTTCTGAATAAGCAAATCTTCATTGCATTGAAACAGCAGGGTGTAGTGTGAGATAAATACTCGGAGGCGCTGGACACACACCAGGAGTAGATAATAGTCAGGGTGCTCCTGCTCTGTGAACTTCAGGACATTCTGGATGGAGGGAAAAAGGAAGCAGCGTTGCATAATTAGCGTGAAAATTTGTCTGCACCTCACCTTGATCTGTTGTGGGAATTTGATAGCTATTTAATCAAAAAAACAATACACATGACCCATCCAATTATATGCTGAAAGGTCAAACTGGCTGCTCTCTATCACACCAAGGGAAAAATAAGTCACTATTGTTACCTGTTTGAGTTGAACGTGAACATAATTTCATTTGAAAAGTTAGAAGCATCTCCTAATTAGACCTCTGAAGTAGTAGAGGCATTCTTTTTTTTTTTTTTTTTTTTGAGACGGAGTTTCGCTCTTGTTACCCAGGCTGGAGTGCAATGGCTCGATTTCAGCTCACCGCCGCCTCCGCCTCCTGGGTTCAAACAATTCTCCTGCCTCAGCCTCTTGAGTAGCTGGGACTACAGGCATGTGCCACCATGCCCAGCTAATTTTTTTTGTATTTTTAGTAGAGACGGGGTTTCACCATGTTGACCAGGATGGTCTCGATCTCTTGATCTTGAGATCCACCCGCCTCGGCCTCCCAACGTGCTGGGATTATAGGCGTGAGCCACCGCTCCCGGCCGTAGTAGAGGCATTCTAACAATTATTGTCTATAAGCAGTGCCTTAACTCAAAAGAGCCAGACCAATGTTAAGAGCATCAGGCATCAAGGCAGGCGAGGGAGGAGGATGTTTATGATCAAGCCTGGTGGCCCTTCCTGTTATATTCCCTGCTGTGCTGTTGCGGAACATGAGTGCAATTTGGATTTGGGAAAGCTAAAATGTATCGAGTACTTCCTATTGCCAGGTAGTAAGTGCTTTACGTATATTATCTCATTTAATTTTTACTGCAACCTACTTACATCAGTACTATTATTAATTCCATTTAACAAATAAGGAAATCGAGGTATGAAGAAGTTAAATGATCTTCATCAGGTCACACCTGTAGTAAATAATGGAGGCAAGATTTGAACTCAACTCAGAGAGTAGAACCAGGGCTTGTTTGCCATATTCTACTATTTGCAAAACCTGAGTTTCAGTCCTAGGTTTTTTTTACCTACTAGGTGTGTTAACTTGGGTAAATTCTTAATTTCTTTGGCCCTGCATTTTCTCTTGTAAAATATAAAGACAATAATACCTATTCCATGGGATTGCTGTTAGAATTAAATAAGATCATTATTGTGAGAAAATGTTTTTAGGATCTAAAGCTATACACAATTGAAAGTCTTTTCAGGCCACGAGTGGTGACTCACACCTGCAATCCAAGCACTCTGGGAGGCCAAGGCGGGAGGATCACTTGAGCCCAAGAGCTCAAAACCAGCCTGGGCAACACAGGTAAACCCTGTCTCTACAAAAAATACAAAAATAAGCCAGGCATGGTGGCACACACCTAAGTCTCAGCTACGCAGGAGGCTGAGGTGGGAGCATTGCTTGAGCTGGGGAGGTTGAGGCAGCGGTGAGCTAAAATCACACCACTGCACTCCAGCCTGGGCAACAGAACCAGACCCTATCTCAAAAAAAAAAAAGTCTTTTCAATATTGATACTTTGATACTGGACTACTTCTACCTAAGATTAATCCCAAGCATTTCTAAGATGCTTTCATTGAATTACTTAAGAAGATCAGTCAGCAGTTAAATCAGAACAGGTGGGTGGTGGAAAGAAGAAGGTCTGGTGGGGGTTAGTGAGCCTCTCTTTCAAGTCTGCTTCCTCCAGGATATCACAAGCCCTGCAGGAAAATGGTGTGAAGACATCAGCTCATCATCTTCATGCCTCTTCTATGACATAAAGCTTAAGCATGGTATAGTAGAACACTGGACCCATGCCAAAAGAAAGTAGGATAGCAGTAAAGTGGGCAGGTTAGAGATATTTAGATGTCGGGGGTGGCATGTAGATGGCTGTAAAACCAAAGTGGAGAGAACTGGATGAGGTGCTTAGAATCTAGCAGGAGTGGTTATAGAAAGATCCTGGATCAGCTGAGGTGGAAATTGCTGGTAAGCAAAAATAGAACTTCAGAAGTAAGCATCATGAGCTGAAAATTTTTAGAAATAAAGATTTTCAGCTGGTCACAGTGGCTCACACCTGTAATCTCAGCACTTTTGGAGGCCAAGGCGGGTGGATCACTTGAGGTCAGGAGTTCAAGACCAACCTGACCTACATGGTAAAACCCCATCTCTACTAAAAATACAAAAATTAGCTGGACATGGTGGTGCGCACCTGTAGTCCCAGCTACTTGAGAGTCTGAGGCAGGAGAATCGCTTGAACCTGGGAAGCAGAGGTTGCAGTGAGCCAAGATCTTGCCACTACACTCCAGCCTGGGTGACAGATCGAGACTCAATCTCAAAAAAGAAAAAAGAAAAAAAGACTTTAGCTCATATCACAGGACATTATGGGCTATGGGGTAATCATAACAATCTAGGTAAACACTTTTTAGAAATATTAACGATTCTTGAGGTGTTACAGTCTTTCTCAGCTGGGAGCCAAAGACAATCATTATTTAGCATGAAAATCAGTTCAGTGGCTTTCCCACCCACACCTACCTGCAGATGTATCAGATATTCAGGGATGCGCTGGACTATATGGAAAAACAACGTGTAGATGTCAGATTTAATCTCTTCATCACCCTGAGTGAAAGAAAGGTCAAGTCACTCTTCAGTGTTCCTCCAGCTGTGGCAGCAGAACCTCTGAGTCGGTCCCACCAGAGAAGGAAGGGTTTCCTCCCACAGCATTTTCTTCCTGGAGATTGTCATAGTGCACTGATCTCTCATGGGAGAGGCCATATGTTCAGGGACACACCTTAGGGGATAACTCTTCTCCCGAAGGGAGCATTTCATATACTTCTTCTGAATCCACCCAAATTTCCAAACTACCCTCTCCTTCCCCTCATCTTAGCGCAGTTCCAGACAGAAGTGGGTACTCAATAAACCATATCTGAGTTGAATGAATTCATTAAGGCTCTCCAGCAAGGAATCATAACAATGGTGTAGTAATAGGCTTGAAGGGAGACTTGGAGCCTCAGGAGAGTGGAAAAGGAAGTGTGTGTGATTCGAAACTAAGGAGCGGGCCTGGCCGCAGAAAACACGCTGCATTTCTCCATGTCCCTTCCTTCTCCTTCTCGTCTTTCCCAGATATTAGCTGAAAGCTAACATGTGGTAGGCATTATACTGGGTTGGGAGTAGTGGGGGGTTGAAGTAGAAACTTAATAAGACAGAGCCTCTCATCTCTTGTGAAATTTGATTAATTCTTATTGTTGGGGCTTCTGACACTGTTTTATCCTATTGATCTGAAATAACTGAGTTGTTATACATGCATATGTGCTTACTGAGCACCTAATATATCACTGCAGTAGCAATACTTCAAGCAACATGACTAAGCCACCTTAGGATCTTATAAACTGACAAAGAATGAGAAGTTTAATATTCAGAGTCACATCTTCTGAGACTGAAAAAAAACCCACCACATACATACAGCATATAAGCTGCAGCCTGGAGATCTCTGCATAGAACGCCCATTTAGTTTGTCTATGATTCCAATGGAATGGAAGAGAGGGTCAGTAAGGCAGGGAGAGAGGACCAACACAATGGCACTGATCCTTAAGTCAGTTCCCCTAATGCCAGGTAGTAGTGTCAGTGGCTCCGTTCAGGCCATTTCCCAGCCTAGAAAGCAGAGTGCATGTGCCGTATTGACTGGGTGGATGAACAACATCATATGGATGCCATGTGCCAATGAAGGATAGCAGATACATAGTGTTAACTCACCTCTTTCAGGACTACAACGTGAACCAATGAGATGCACTCAGGCAGGTCCCTCAGGTAGGCAACGTAATAATCCAAGAAATTATTCTTTAAAACAAAGACATAGAAAGAAACAAAAAAGTTACTCCAGCTCTCTCCTGATTTAAATATTTAAAAATAATAAAAAAGAAATAAAAAACAAACACAAAAATTCATGGTAAGAACCTGAAAACAGGATCAATAATATTTTTATGGCGTTATATATGTAAAACAAAAGAGTATGTTGCAGAGATTATCTTATTCATTTAATGTGTTCTTTATATATTTTGGGGCTTAAAAAAAAAAAAACTTTTTGGTTTTAAGGTAAACATCCCTACTGCTTGGGAAGCAAAACTCAGTATCAGCCAGGTGCAGTGGCTCATGCCCATAATCCCAGCACTTTGGGAGGCCAAGACAGGCAGATTACCTGAGGTCAGGAGTTTGAGACCATCCTGGCCAGCATGGTGAAATCCCATCTCTACTGAAAATACAAAAATTAGCTGGGCATGGTGATGTGTGCCTGTAATCCCAGCTACTGGGAGGCTGAGGCAGGAGAACCACTTGAACCTGGGAGGCAGAGGTTGCAGTGAGCTGAAATTGTGCCATTGCACTCTAGCCTGGGTGACAGAGCAAGACTCCATCTCAAAAAAAAAAAAAAAAGAAAAAGAAAAGAAAACCTCAGCATCCCTTCCCTAATGAGAGAAAGTGAAATAATAAACCCAGGGAGGAGGGAGGTTCATGTAAGTTGAAAATGTATTTTTTAAATCATTGAATAATAAAAATGTATATTTTTGTAATTCCATTTCATTTCAGTCAATCATCTATGTCCAGATGAAGGACTCTGCCCACCCCACTTCATCTTATCCAGACTGGTGGTTCACAACATTTTCTAGTAATTGCATATTTCCACTAATTGAATATTTATGCATTATCCTCTTAGGAAAATCATTATCAGCTTCTAAAGTTATAATAATTCTGAGCTAAACAAAGCCTTCTGAACACAAGAGAGTAAAAGTGACATTAAAGGATATTAGTACATTATATCCACTCTAGTCTATGGAAGAAAATAATCTTTGTATAATAAAAGTAAACTTTGTATTGTTATCCAGAGTTGAGAATAATTGATATACAAAAACTGATTCCAGGCAAAGTCTGGCTTGCAGACCAATTTTAATTAGCCCACAAAATCTTTTAAAAATCAGAAAATTTGCAGATTCCCAGCTTTTCTTAAAATATCAGAAGCTCAGGCAACTCTGCTCCTTTTTTCCTGCATAATGAGTGGATAGAGCTGAGTAGCTATTCCTTGTAGAACTACACAGGTGCTCCACTCCAGCTCACACTCCACACCAGTCCATGCTGTGTTCACTCATTTATGCCACTGTCTGGCCCTGTAGGCATTTAAGTTTGCAACCTCTGGCTTAGATCCTATTTTCTTTGTAGGATATTATAGAGATTATAAAATTCAAGACAATAGCCACCCATCACATTTTTTAAAGATCTCCAAGAAATGAAAATTGTGTGTGAAAATACACATGTATATACAAACTCTCATGTGTGTGTATATATATATGCATGTGTATATATATATATATATATATATACACAATTTTCTTTGAGACAGGGTCTTGCTGTGTTACTCAGGCTAGTCTCAAAGTCCTGGGTTCAAACAATCCTCCTGCCTCAGCCTCCCAAAGTGTTCAGATTACAGGAATGAGTGAGCCACCACACCAGGCCCACAAATATATATATATATATATATATATATATATATATATATATATACACACATGCATTTATATAAACACAAACACAATACATACACACATCCACATGTGTATTCAATGGAGGCAATTATAGGACAGTGGAAAGCTATGAACTAGAAGTCAGAAGACCTAATTTAGGATTCTACTCACAGATCTCCAACTACCTGTGATTTCAGCAAGGCTTTTAAATCTCTCTGAATCATGGAATGATCTGTATGTAGAATGAAAAGTTACGCTAGATCTCAGTAGCTCCTCTACCTCTGAAGTTCACCGCTTCTAGATTCTCCATTAAGAGAAGTAGACAGATGAGACACAAATACATATAAGTAAAATTTATAGAAGGGCAGGTAAAAGCTTACCTCATCATTTGTTAACTTAAGGAATAAATCTCCGAGAACGCCTTGGCGTGGCCACTTCAGGACCCTTTCCTGCAGCGCGTGAAGCAGGTCCAGGTGCTGCTGGACAAGGTACCGTAAAGAGCCAGGGAACAGGCTTGAAACAGAATAGAGATGAATCACACACACCAGGTGTAGAGAAGAAAGGACCCTACAAACATACACACTGCAGGGCCCATTCTCCCAGCCATCACCATACCCTGAGCCACAGGCCTGCATTTAGGATTTTTTAAAGTTTTTTTTTTTAACTTTTTCATTGCACACCTAATAGCAGATATCCACAGACTAAAACAACAACAAACCCTTTACTGATAGCTCCTATACAAATACGTATTGAACTAATAAAGAGGCCCAATGTGCCACACCTGCAATCCCAGCACTTTTAGAGCAGGAGGATCACCTGAGGTCAGGAGTTTGAGACCAGCCTGGCCAACATGGCAAAACCCTGTCTCTAAAACATAAAAAATTAGCTGGGCATGGTGGTGTGCACCTGCAGTTCCAGCTACTTGGGAGTCTAAGGCAGGAGAAATCACTTGAATCAGGGAGGCAGAGGTTGCAGTGAGCTGAGATCACTCCGCTTCACCCCAGCCTGGGTAACAGAGTGAGACTCTGTCGCAAAAAAATAAACACACACATAAATAAAATAAAAATAAAGAGCACATCACTTGAAAGACCTTTTTAATCCTAACCTGGTACTCACTCATTTAAACGACACTCAGTGGAAATTCTAAGGGATACCTTTCCAATGTTTTAGAGTTATTGCTATTTGATGGGCAAGATAGTCTATTCTAATTAGTGTGGTGATGCGGCACTCAGGTGGCATCTATATGGCCATTCTCAGCTACCAGTCAGAGACTGCTATTTAGGTAAGCAAGAAAAATTGTTTAAAGCTGGCAACTAAAAAGCTCAGGGAGTTGTAGGATAAGGGAGGGTTTCTTTTTTCCTTTTCTTCAGTTTCTAAGAGGAATACTGGGCCAGGACAGAGTGTTCTTTGTGTAGACTATTCAAATAATTTGGATGTGTGTCCCTGCCCAACTCTCATGCTGAAATGTAATCCCCAGTGTTGGAGGTGGGGCTTGGTGGGAGGTGACTGTGTCATGAGGGTGAATTTCTCGTGAGTGGTTTAGCACCATCCCTTTTGATACTGTCCCACCAAGTAATAGTGATGGCGATTGAGTTCTCATGAAATCTGGCTGTTTACAAGTGTGCAGTGCCTCCGTCTTTCTCTCTTGCTCCTGCTCTGGCTTATGGCGTGCCTGCTTCCCCTTCGCCTTCCAGCGTGATTGTCAGTTTCCTGAGGCCTCCCCAGAGGCCGAGCAGATCATGCTTCCTGTACAGCCTGCAGAACCTTAATCCAATTAAACCTCTTTTCTTTATAAATTGCCTAGTCTCAGGTATTCTTTGTAGCAATGTGAGAGCAGCCTAACACAGCTACTGACCAGGCCCGGCCTCCTATTCCCTGAAATTTTACAAAGCACCTTTTCTACTCTTCCATCCCTCTCTTCTATTTTGCAGTGTACCTTGCAGTGTATCTCAGAAGTAATGAAGGGAAGAAGGGAGACGTCGGAGAAGGGTGGGTGAAGAGGAGAGATAGAATCATGGGAGGAAGAGGAAGGGGGACTAGCTGGGTAAGACTGAGGCGATTAGAGGCCTATAGGAAAGAGGAAGAAAAAAACAAAAAGAAGCGCAGTTTTTCTGGGCTTCTAACTTGGTAACTTAAGGTAGGTTCCCTTATGCTTTCAGCACCACAAGTTTAACATACAGAAAAGAGATGGTCTGGTTGATCTGAACTTATTTGAGTATTTCCCCAGGATGAAATGAGAGTAAGTTGATGGACAACCGGGGTGCTCTGCCAACAAGCAAACCTTCGCTGGGACAATAGGAAGGACACCAGATTGAGAGGAGATTTTTTTCAACTCATTTCCAAGCAAAGTAAAGTGACCCCTGTGACTATAGCTCAGAGGAGACACACAAACACCAAAAGAGGGTACTCAGCCCCCTATGAAAAGACACAAGGAAGCCTTCCGCTTCCTCCACCACCTGTGCCTGCAGCCTCCACACTTACAAAGCCAGCTGATCCATTAACACAGGAGGAGAGGCCTTCTGATCTCAGCGCCTACAGTGGAACAGTGGGCTTAGGAGATCAAAGAAATCCCTACCCAGATCAGAGGGGAATTTGGAGGGGTGGCTAGAAGATATACTAACTGGGAGAAGACCATAAACCTGATGGAAAAAAACACAACTAATTGTACTGAAAGAGCAAAATGAGGCTGGGCATGGTGGTTCACACCTGCAATCCGAGCACTTTGGAAGACCAAGGTGGGCAGATCACCTGAGGTCAGGAGTTTCAGACCAGCCTGACCAACATAGAGAAACCCTGTCTCTAATAAAAACACAAAATTAACTGGGTGTTGTGGTGTGCTCCTGTAATCCCAGCTACTCAGAAGGCTGAGGCAAGAGAATCGCTTGAACCCGGGAGGCAGAGATTGTAGCGAGCCGAGATCACGCCATTGCACTCCAGCCTGGGCAACAAGAGTGAAATTCCATCTTAAAAAAAAAAACAGGACCGGGTGTGGTGGCTCATGCCATCACTTTGGGAAGCCAAGGAAGGTGGATCACAAGGCCAGAAGTTCAAGACGAGCCTGGCCAAGATGGTGAAACCCTGTCTCTACTAAAAATACAAAAAATTAGGCAGTCATGGTGGCAGGTGCCTGTAATCCTAGCTACTCAGGAGGCTGAGGCAGAGAATTGCTTGAACCTGGGGAGGCGGAGGTTGCAGTGAGCCAAAATCACGCAATTCCAGCCTGGGTGACAGAGTGAGACTCCATCTCAAAAAAAAAAACAAAACAAAACCGAAAGAGCAAAATGCTGAGGCCTCCCCAGAGAACGAGCAGATGCCAGCATCATGCTTCCTGTACAGCCTGCAGAACTGTGATCCAATTAAGTCTCTTTTCTTTATAAATTACCCAGTCTCAGGTATTCTTTATAGCAATATGAGAAGAGCCTAAGCTATGACATGAAGTGTACTTACTGTTTCATAAGTTACATGAAAAACAATGACCTACAGTGGGCTCTGTATAAAATGTTGAAAATGGGCTTTAAACTTAAAAAAAAAATTAACAAGGGTATTTGAAATTAGGGAGGAGTGTGAAATCAGAAGACAGAGGGTAAAGGGAGAAAGACGGCATGAAGCACAGCCACACTTCACCTATTTCACTCTTTCGCCTGGCACCAGACCTGACTCCCAGAAGCAGCTTTTTCAGAAGACAAAATATTCAGAGCTCAGCTTTGTTTTCTTTTCCTCACTGGGGATGAAATTATGGCAACATGAGTAGTTTATTATTTCTAAAGCCTTCAAGGTATTTATCTCCCAAGAATATATACCTAATCAGTGAGGGAAATACACTAAAAGCAAGAAAGAAAAATCCAATTATAGTTTCAGGTTAATAACTTAGCTTTTGCCAGCCCAGTAAGAGGCTAAAATAACTCCTTAGCTTCGCAGCAGCAGGTTCCCACCACCTGGGATGGGCATGATCATTAAACGTGTGCCACCTGGTGGTGATCCGTAGCATGACGCTTGTTGAGTTCTTGGTGGACATAGCACTGGAATTTAGCTTACAAGGCTAATGGACAATCCTGCTGAACTGATCACTGTCCCCTCCACAAGTGTTCAGACAGCACTGTGATCCTGAGGCTGTGGCTCTACCTAGGTCAGAGCCAAAAAAGCCCAGAACGCCAACTTCTTTTTTTTTTTTTTTACTACTACTCAGCCATAACAAGTAATGAACAGAACCCCAAGTTCTGTGATCCTTTGACACATGACAGCCTGGGCAACAGAGTGAGATGCTGTCTCTATAATAAACTGAAAAATAAGCTGGGCGCAGTGGCTCATGCTTGTAATCCCAGCTACTGGGGATGTTGAGGCGCAAGGATCACTTGATCCCAGAAGTTGAGGCTGCAGTGAGCTATGATTGGGTCACTATACCCTTCTCCAGCCTGTCTCTAAACAAACCAAACAAATGAACCATAGCCCTCTAGCTCTGCCCAGGTGTCAGCCAGCAGCATGTGCCCCTGCAACTTCCAGCCCTTTCACCCAGGGGCAGGGCTGGCTTCAAACAGGCTGAGGAAGCTCTTGAGTGACTCACCTTTTTTTTTTTTTTTTAAGAAAAACCTAAGGTTTTATTTAATAGGTTGGAGAAGATGTGGCCACCTCAGGCTTGAGTGTCACGTTGTACTTGCAGTGGGGATTATTTGCATCCCAGGTTACTTTCTAACAGGGTAAAAAGTGTTGAAGCTTATGGTTTGTGATGGGAAAGGTAGTAAATGTTAATACACTTATTTTCATCTTTGCATGGAGAAAAAATGCCAATAGAGAAAATGAATAATCTCATTCTGCTTTGTATTTCTTTCAGCTGGTCTATTTAAAGTACACACAGAAGTCGGGCATGGTGGCTCATGCCTATAATCCCAACACTTGGAGAGGCCGAGGTGGACAGATCACTTGAGGTCAGGAGTTCCAGACCAGCCTGGCCAACATGGACAAACCTCGTTTCTACTAAAACTACAAAAATTAGCTGGGCATGGTGGTGTGTGCCTGTAATCCCAGCTACTCAGGAGGCTGAGGCAGGAGAATCACTTGAACCCGAGAAGTGGAGGTTACAATGAGCCGAGACTGCACCCCTGCACTCCAGCCTGGGCAACAGAGTGAGATCTTGTCTCAAAAAAATAAAGAAAAAAATAAACTGCACACAGAGGTTTCAGAAAAGCTTTAAAAAAAGAAAAAGATAATGAGTGGAAGAGGATAATGAAAATATAACCCTAGGATAGAAAAACAGCAGCACCACCAAGCTCAGAGCCAGAGACTTCATATTCAGTACTAATGAAGAGTATTGGGTTGAAGCTTTTCTCTGCTTGGTCTGTGAAAAGAAGAAAGGGGTTAGCCTAGCATATAACTAACATGAAAGGCATTATCATGGATTCTTGAAATAACCATTATGATTTTTTTTTTAGATGGAATTTCACTCTTGTTGCCCAGTCTAGAGTGCAATGGCGTGATCTCGGCTCACTGCAACCTCCTCCTCCCGGGTTCAAGCAATTCTGCCTCAGCCTCCTGAGTAACTGGGATTACAGGCATGTGCCACCATGCCTGGCTAATTTTTGTATCTTTAGTAGGGATGGGGTTTTTCCATGTTGGTCAGGCTGGTCTCAAACTCCTGACCTCAAGTAATCTGCCTACCTCAGCCTTCCAAAGTGCTGGGATTACAGGCATCAGCCACCGCGCTCAGCTGTAACTGTCATCTTACTTTCATAGAGGATTGTATGATAGCTTTAATCTTTTAATCTTGTAGGATTTGGGGGACAGATCTACTCCTTCTTCCCAGTGATGGGTCATAAGAGAATGTCTTAGAAAAATAGGAGGTGACAAGGCCAGGCGCGGTGGCTTATGCCTGTAATCCTAGCACTTTGGGAGGCTGAGATGGGTGGATCACCTGACGTCAGGAGTTTGAGACCAGCCTGACAAACATGGCAAAACCCTGTCTCTACCAAAAATACAAAATTAGCCGGCGTGATGGCACATGTCTGTAATTCCAGCTACTCGGGAGGCTGAGGCAGGAGAATTCCCTGAACCCGGCGAGCAGAGGTTTTGGTGAGCCAAGGTGGCACCACTGCACTCCAATCTGGACAAAAAGAGCAAAACTCCAACTCAAAAAAAAAGAAAGAAGGAAAGAAAAGGAAGAGAAGAGAAAGAAGCGAGAGGAGAGGAGAGGAGAGGGGAGGGGAGGGGAGGGGAGAGGAGGGGAGGGGAGAAGAGAGGAGAGGAGAGAAGAGGAAATAGGAGGTGACAGCAAGTCAACAAGGGCCCTCTCTTTTATCTACCCAAATCCTCTGTAGGGTCTGGCTTCTCCCCTATGATCTCCCGCCTGCTGGAGGTTTGCAACAGGGTTAGATAAACATACCTAGAAGCCCTACTTAACAAATCAACTGAGATCTGAAGTAAAAACTTATAGTTCAAGAGGGAAGATTGGGTTTTAAAATAGGAAGAGACACTCAGTGCTTCTGCCTCTCTGAGAAACTTTACATAGTGCTGTTAATGAAGGCGGTGGCCTTAGGGAAGAGGTATGATGTGGGGACCGCACACAGTACAGGGTAGGGCAGGCCTGCTTCGAATCCCGGCACTACTGGGCTCTGTGGCTTTAGACTTCCCTGGGCCTTAGTTCCTGTATCTGTAAGGTAGGGGTCACAGGGTTCTGCTGAACAGTTCATGAAGATATAAATCAAGTGCCTAGCAGAGCAGCTGCTTACAGTAAACAGTTCTTTCTCTTTTCCCAGCCTTTCCCCGCCTCCCCAGATTTTCAGACTAAGAAGAGACGCTGCTGGCTTAGAATTTTCCACGTGGAAGTAAAGCCACGCCAAAGGGTAGACCGCCTTTAGATTTCAAAAGCAATATAGCTAGAGGCCGTAGAGACTTCCAGAGGCCTGCAGTGCAGCTGAGAGGGGCAATGGGAAGGGTCAGGTGGGGAAGGAAGTGCTGAGAATCTGGCAGCCTCTGAGAGAAGGTGAGGCCCAGTCCAGAGCCTTGCCTGGTCACAGCGTCAGCTGGGTCACCTTCACCTTTCTGTACTTGTTGCTTTGTATTTTGCTCATCTTGTTTTTGTAGTAAAATCACTCTTGAAAATAGTTAAGCCACTTGTGAGTTTGTCAGGGAGTAGTGCCTCACTCAGGTAGGAGGATCAGCAGTGTGTTTTGGTGACTGAGTAGCCACCAAGTCAGATGGATTTGAGGGGATGGTAAGGAGCAGGAAAATATAATTAGGGGCTTCCCTGGGTAGATTCAGAATGTATGAACCACCAGTGTATATTACCCAATGGAATGTTTAAAGTAATAGTGCCATATATGTTCATAGTGGTCCATAATCTAGATTTCTCATTCCTTTGAATTGGCCTTTCCTCAATTTTTCTGGATTATTTCATATTCATTACATTAATCTTTTTCACCAAGTCTTACTTTCCTCCTTCCTGCTTTCTCCGAACAGAGAAGGAAACAAAAAAACATCTAAAGACTATGAACAGACATAGGTGGAGGAGTGCTGTGACATTGGGAAAGCGTGTTGTTTCAAGAGGTGGCAGACCCTGTGCGCCGAGTGTGCATTACCAGGTACTATGAGATCACCCACACGATAACAAGAAAGGCCCAGGCCCAGAGTTATATCAGCCCTGTGTCATTTCTCTAATGGCCACTGAGTGCTTAAGTTTTCCACACATTCATTCCCTTGTGCTTCTAAGAGATCTGTGACCCATGGAGACCACATGCAGATGGGAACAGAGAGCAATGCTTCCCTCACTGTAGCATTTGCTCCCCCTTAAAGTTTTTAAAAGACATGTTAGAGACACTGAAGGCCCAGCAGAGTACACTCATTTTCTTACCTTAATGAAAATCTAAGTTTAAGGCTTGCCAGGGGTTCCCTATTGCTATGATCTAAATGTGTGCCCCAAAATTCATGTGCTGGAAACTTAACCCCCAATGCAACAGTACTGGGAGGTGAGGCCCATAGTGGGTGTTTAGGTCTGAGAGCTCCACCCGATGAATGGATTATTGCCACTACAAAAGGTGCTTGAGGGATTGGGCTCTCCTGCTCTCTCCTGCTCTTCTGCCACATGAGGCTACAACATTCCTCCTCTCTGGAGGACACAACAATAAAGTGCTATCTTGGAACCAGAGATTGAATCTGCAGGCACTTTGATCTTACACTTCCCAGTCTCCAGGACTGTGAGAGAATAAATTTCTGTTCATTGTAAGTTATCCAGTCTGTGATATTCTGTTATAGCAGCACCAAGTGAGCTGAGACATCTGCCATCACTGCCTCTTCTCTTTTCAAAGACTTTCTGGAACTCTTTATAGGCCCAGACATCCCAAAGTGGAAACAATAAACCACTTACCTTAAATCCTAATCAATCTGAAAAGCAAAGGCAATGAGTGCATGGATACCTTCTCTCTTTGGAATTCCTCTTTCCATCAGACCCCTGGAATGTGGCTTTTATCTTCAAGATCAGAGAGATGTTAATGACATATTTTCTTTCAGATTCAAGCAGTTCCAGGGCCACAGTCTGTCTTTTGGCTTTAGAAATAAACCAAAGAGGGACTTGATATTAACCATTTCTTCCTAAAATCCTATGAAATGCAAGCAATAAAAAGCAATAAAAGGATATTGAAAGCAATAAAAAGAACCATCTGCAAGTTTTTGAAAGGTAGAAAGCAGAATGGAGGCACAGTAATTAATTCAGCAAAGCAAAGGGCACAAAGTCTTGGTGTCCCCATCTGCAGATGAAAAAGCTGCTGAGAAGCAGCCAGAAAGCTCAAGGATTGGAGACATCAGGGGCAACATAGAAAGTGCAAATAAGGGGCAATGCTGAAAGCAGGAGCGATTGTTGAAAGTCTACACAGGGGGCAATTGAACCTCCAGATCCTCACCCCCATGCCAGATGGCTTCCTCACTTCCTCCCCATGGCAAACAAGAAAAATGAAACTAGAGAAGTCCTGGCTTCTGGGATCTGGGCTAAAGACTTTAGACATAGTAGAGTTGAGATGCTAAAATGAAAACAAAAGGGCTCAGGGAAGGCTTCACACTGAACAGTGAGACTTCCCTCAGCCTCCTTCCCCTGCAGATCCAGAGTGCCAGCAGCCAGGTTTAAACTCTTCGGGCAGGAGATTGGAGGGTCTTCCGCTTGAGAAACTGAACTGCCCAAGGAAAAAAGATCCGCAGACACTGAAATAAAGAGGTCGGCTATCTGCCAGGCACGGTGGCTCATGCCTGTAATCTCAGCACTTTGGGAGGCTGAGGTGGGTGGATCACCTGAGGTCAGGAGTTCAAGATCAGCCTGGCTAACATAGCAAAACTGCATCTCTACTAAAAATACAAAAATTAGCCAGACATGGTGGCGCACACCTGTAATCCCAGCTACTCAGGAGACTGAGGAAGGAGGATTGCTTGAACTCAGGAGGAAGAGGTTGCAGTGAGCTGAGATGGTGCCATTGCATTCCAGCCTGGGCAACAGAGCAAGACTCCATCTCAAAAAGGAAAAAGAGGTCAACTATCAAAAAGTTAATTTGCCATCTGATTAGCCTGTCTATAATGAAACCCACTGATTTACAAGCTTGGCCAATACATTCCAGGGTTTTTCTAGGAACTCTTTCCTACATATATTTAGCTAAGGATGCTCGTGCATTTGAATAAAGCTTATTCTATAAAAGAAAGAGAGGAAAAAAGAATATATACTTATATTTTTTACAAGGAGGGGGTACCCTGAAGAAACAGAGACAATGCAGGATACAAAAGAATAAAAACTTTTAACCTTACAATTCATATTCTCAAAGAGATACAAGAAACATATTCCAGCCATTTAACAATTGCAGGATGCTAGTTTTAAAAAGAGAGGATAATTTTTTTAAAAGGAGAAACTTTTAAACATCACTTAAAAGATAGAAAAAATTAAAAGAGTAGAAGATGAAATAAAAGAAGAAATTTCCGTTGCTTAAAAAAAAAAAAATAAGAAAGAGATGTATTAAAGAAAAATAGAAGAGCAAAAGATGGCAGTTGGGAAATCAGTCCAAGAGATCCAACATCGGATTAGTAGAAGTTTCAGAGAAAAGAAAGAAAATGGACAAGAAGATATTATCAAATTAGTAACAGGAAAAAAAACAATCCAAGGACATGTATTTCCAGGGAAAAGGGCCCTCGTGCCCAGTAAAATTAATGAAAAAAACTCACATCATTCTAAGGCATGTCACATCACTGTGAAACTTCAGCACACCATGGATAAAAAGAAGATCCTAAAAGTTACCAGATAGAAAAATCAGGTAACATGCAAAAAACTGAGTATCAGAATGGCACTGGACTTCCTATGAGCAAAATTAGAAGCTAAAGGACAATGGAACAATTGCTTCAAAATTATGAGGAAAAAAGATTTAATATTTGGCCAAATTATTAATCAAGTATGTAAAACCATTTTTGCAAAATTATGACAGCAAGGGAAATCTGACACAGCTGACTCTATCTTGTGTCTAACCTCAAGCTGCCCTTCTTCATTCCTGGTCATAGGCTGAGATTTTGAGAGCAATTTTGTTCATAGTTTAACTTAAAGCAAGGATGATAACAGCCCTTCCCAAAACTAACCCCATGCCCTCCAATTTGGTACCCAAACTATCTTTGAAAAACCAATGAAAGGCCAAAAGGTGAGTATTATGAATTATGAATTCATATGATGAATTATGCTAAGATGTATAGGCATAGTTAAATGATAATCAGCCATTGTTATGGAGGTCACAAGATTTGTAACTTCCCTGGTTATTGCTATAGATAATATCACTACTGTAGAAACTAAGATTGGTCTTTTGAGACATCTTTCCAGACTTTTCCATTTCTGGAAGCTGACTCACTCCACCTGGATCCACAACCAGTGACTCAACCAGTCTTGTGGCCCTCACCCACAGGCTGACTCAGCATCTGAGGACCACATTCCTGTAATTTCATCCCCAACCAATCAGCAGCACCCATTCCCTATCCCCCTGCCCACCAAATTCAGCCTCTGAATTATCAGGGAGATTGATTTGAGTAATAAACTCCCATCTGCTGCTTAGCTGTCTGTATGTTTATTCAACTCTTTCTCTATTGCAATACAGCAGTCTCAGTAAAGCAGCTCCACCTGCACAGCAAGCCAGCAAGAAGGACCCACCAAGTGATCACATATATGGAAGCTACTGGACAATGTGTTCCCCCAAAACCAGGAGTAAACCAAGAAACCAAGGATACAGAAGATGAAAGAAAAAATCAACAACAAGCAAACAGGAATCGAAATGAGGAGAAAGATGAAGGGACTTCTTTTTTTTTTTAATTTTTTTTGTGTGTTGTTTTTTGGTAGCAGTTCACACTGTAGATGAAGGGAATTCTTAAGAAGACTGGAAAGTCCCAGGATGATGGCAGTATGCTGGGTTAAAGCAGGATAGGCTGATGGAGGCAAATGCTCCTTAAAAAAAAAAAAAAAAAAAAAAAAGGATGAGCCAGGTACAGTGGCGCATGCCTGTAATCCCAGCACTGTGGGAGGCCAAGGCAGGCGGATTACGAGATTGAGACCATCTGGCCAACATGGTGAAACCCCGACTCTACTAAAAATACAAAAATTAGCTGGGTATTAGTGGCGTATGCCTGTAGTCCCAGCTACTTGGGAGGCTGAGGCAGGAGAATTGCTTGAACCCAAGAGGCAGAGGTTGCAGTGAGCCAAGATCGTGCCACTGCACTCCAGCCTGGTGACAGAGCGAAACTCTGTCTCAAAAAAAAAAAAAAAGATGTCTGGGCTTAGTGGCATGTGTCTGTTGTGTCAGCTACTTGGGAAGCTGAGGCAGGTGGATCACGTGAGCCCAAGATGTTGAGGCCAGCTTGGGCAACAAAGGGAAACTCCACCTCAAAAAAAAAATAAATGGATAAAAATAAATTAAAAATTAAAAACATTGATGATGTAAATAGTAAAGTTTCTGTTATATTGCTAAGAAAAATTCAAGAGCTATATAAATAAAGAAATATACCATGTTCTTCAAATGGAAGACTCAATACTGTCAAGATGTCAATTATCTGATAACTGGAATTTTTTAAAAGAGAGTCTAAAATTAGATACCCATGTAAGACCACTTGATTTGCTGCATGCGACAATGGAAAACAAAAGGTATTTTCAGTTAATGGTGCTGAAACAACTGGATACTATCTGGAAAAAAAAAATGAACCTGGGCCCCTTTCTCACACTGTACATCAAAATTCATTCAAGATAAGTCATAGACCTAAATGTGAAAACTAAAACTATAAAGATTTTAGAAGAAAGCATATGAGAATATCTTCAGAACTGTGAGATAGCAAAGATTTCGTAGAAAGAAAAGGAAGTCATGAGCTATTTTAAGAGTTTAAAATTGGTAGCTGGGTGCAGTGGTGCACACCTGTGGTCCCAGCTACTTGGGAGGTTCAGGAGGGAGAATCACTTGAGCCCAGGAGATCAAGGCTGAAGTGAGCTGTGATCACGCCACTGCACTCCAGCCTGGGCAACAGAGCAAGACCCTACCTTAAAAAAAAAGTTGGTCAATGGACTAACTTAGGCACTTTATAAAAGAAGATATACGAATAGCCAAGCATATAAAAACATACTTAATAATCCCCAGGGAAGTGCAAATTAAAACTACCGTATGATACCAGTACACATCCCTGAGAATGGCTAACATTGAAAGGACTAACCATCCTTCCCAAGTATGGGAAAGTATGTGAAACAACAGGGCTCTCATACATTGCTAGCAGGAGTATTATCCAACTGCTTTAGAAAACTGCTTGACATTTTCTCTTAAAGTTAAACATAACCATAACCTACAACCCAAAGATTTCACTCCTAGGCATACACCCAAGAGAAATGAGGGCATATATCCCCTCAAAAAAAAAATTGTACAAGAATATTCATAGAAAGCCAGGCATGGTGGCTCACGCCTGTAATCCCAGCACTTTGGGAGGCCAAGACAGGTGAATCACTTGAAATCAGGAGTTTGAGACTAGCCTGGCCAACACGGTGAAACCCCATCTCTACTAAAAATACAAAAATTAGCCAGATGTGGTGGTGCACACCTGTAATCCCAGCTACTCAGGAAGCTGAAGTAGGAGAATCCCTTGAGCCTAGGAGGTGGTGGTTGCAGTGAGCCGAGATTGCACCACTATACTCCAGCCTCAGCGACAGAGCAAGACTGTCTCAAAAGAAAAAAATATATATATATTCATAGTGTCTTAGTCATAATAGCCCAAAACTGGAAGCAATATAAATGTCCAGCAACAGGAGAATGGATTTTAAAATTGTAACAAATTTATTCAATGTGATTAGTAAAAAGGAATGAACTACCAAATGAATTGTGTACAAAAATATACATAAATCTTTTTAAAAAACATTATGTTGGGAGAAAGAGGCCAGACACAAAAGAGTACACACTATTGTTCCATTCATATGAAGTTTAAGAACAGACAAAACTAATTTGTGGTACTAGAAGTCACAACAGTGGTTTTCTGTGTGGATATTGACTGGAAAAGTTCATGAAAGAACTTTCTAGGGTTATTTCATGCACAGAAATATTGTATATCTTGATCTGGGTGCTGATCACAGGGGATATACACATGTAAAATGTCTATCAGCTTAACTGTAAGCTTTGTGAATTTTATTCTATGTAAATTAACCCGCAATAAAATATTAGTAAAAAAAAAAGTAGTGTAAAATGTTTTTTTTTTTTTTTTTTTTTTGAGCTAGAGTCTTGTTCTGTTGCCTAGACTGGGGAGTGCAAAGGCACTATCATAGCTCAATGCAGCCTCTACCTCCTGAGCTCAAGTGATCTTCCTACCTTGGACTCCCATGTAGCTGGGACCACAGGCACATGCCAAGAACCCAGGTAATTTGGTTTTTTATTTTTTGTAGAGACAGGGGTCTCACTATGTTGCCCAGGCTGGCTCCAACTCCTGGGTCCAATGGATCCTCCCAAAGTGCTGGGATTACAGGTGTACAGCCACCATGCCTGGCTAAAGAATTTTTTTTAAAAACATAGAAGCAGACGAGGACTGTGTACCCAGCCTGTGCCTGCCATTCTTCCTCCCCGTGCCCCCCGAAAGAAGTCATGGAAGCAAGTGCCAGAAAAAACTGTCAAAAGACTTTAAAGTTGTTGCCACTCTTTTTCATAACAAATCTTTTAATACTATTTGACTTTTCATGTATTTGATTTTAAAAATTCAAAATAATTTTTTAAAAATTACCTCCCCCGATATAGCCAGGAGGAGATGCCGTTGTCTGACACAGTAATTGTTCAGCAATGATTTATGATATGAAGAAAAGGAAGGAGGGAAAAAGGAGGGAGGACAGGCCCTGTTGCAGGTGTGATATTTTGGTGGTAGACTACTGATGAAGGGTCTGTTGATAGAAGATTCCACATCATTGGCTAAACAGTTCTGCCTTCTTCTCCACCAACCTCATGCCTCCCCCAACTCCCACCATAGCACTACATTGCTAAGTGTCATGAACACTCGGAATCAAGGTGGTAGTCACTGGCCAAGTGCTGGTGAGTCCCTTTATCTCTATAGGTTTTAGTTCACCTGAAAAGGAAACAGGAACTAGGTGGCCTCATGGGTCCACTGAATCTAAACTGTAAGGATTCTCTCCTTAGGGTTCAAAGCTCTGGTACATCCTGTTCTTTAAACTATCAGCCTGCATTCCCCTTGGAACTTACCAGCTAAGGAGGTTTCACATAAAACGTTTTCCAAGGAGCTGTGTCTACCCTGGCTGGCCTCCTTGAGTTTATCCGGGTGGTCTTTGGTGACGTATTCTTCACCCCATTCTTTACCATCCTTAGGCTGCCTCCACATGCCAGATGGGAGATGGCCCTTGGGCTGGATCTCAGCCGAGAGGCAAGACTTGAGATTTTCTTCTGCTTCTGGAGTTGTTGGGTTCACTCCTGGTGTTGCAGGGGAAGGCAGGGGGAGACAAACAAACCTGCTATCAAAATCTTTTTTAAAATTATGTTTGTTACTTTTTTTTTTTTTGAGACAAAGTTTCACATTTGTCGCCCAGGCTGGAGTGCAATGGCATGATCTTGGCTCACTGCAACCTCTGCCTCCCAGGTTCAAGTGTTTCTCCTGTCTCAGCCTCCCAAGTAGCTGGGATTACAGGCATGTGCAACCACACCCAGCTAATTTCTTTATTTTTAGCAGAGCCAAGGTTTTACTAAAACCCAGCTAATTTCTGTATTTTTAATAGAGCCGAGGTTTTTTGGCCAGGCTGTTTTGAACTCCTGACCTCAGGTGATCCACCTGCCTCAGCCTCTCAAAGTGCTGGGATTACAGGCGTGAACCACCACACCCAGCCTTGTTACTCTTGTTACTCTTTTTTTTCTTTTTCTTTCTTTTTTCAGACAGAGTTTCACCCTTGTTGCCCCGGCTGGAGTACAATGGCGTAATATCAGCTCACCACAACCTCCACCTCCCAGGTTCTAGCAATTCTCCTGCCTCAGCCTCCCCAAGGAGCTGGGATTACAGGCATGCGCCACCAACACCTGGCTAATTTTGTATTTTTAGTAAAGACGGGGTTTCCCCATGTTGATCAGGCTGATCTTGAACTCATGACCTCAGGTGATCCACCCACCTTGGCCTCCCAAAGTGCTGGGATTATAGAGGTGAGCCACCGCACCCAGCCTTGGTTACTAACTCTTAACGAATCTGCCTGTTTGGGTACACTATCCCTTGAGGATTAAATATATCAATTAAGGATTAAAAGTGTCTGAAGCTGTTTCTGGTCTCTACATCCTCTATGCTTTATACATAGTCTTTACTAAATAAGGAGTTTTGAAAAATGAATTTATCAAATAGTATAGCTAATTTATAGTAATATGTATTGACTCCTTATATCTGCTTCCTTTCAGGTGAGCACACCAGGCGCTGGAGCACCCCTGGGAAGAGAATACAGAAAGACGAGGAGGAAGGGTGCCAAAAACAATGTCTTCTTTGGCCATTTGCTCCTTGACCCTAATGCTAGAAAGGAAGGAGAAAGGGAAGATGAAATAATTTATAAAATTCCACCGAATTGTCAGTTAATTAAATAAATCCTTTTTAAAATTTTTTTGTCTTTTTCTTTTGTTTCTTTATATTATTCAGTCTTTATTACCTGCACTACACAGATGTAAAAATAAATAACTTTTGAATTAAACTATACAGCGTGTGATCCACGGAAAATTTATGTCATGCCACATTTACCTGAAGTTTTTGGCAAGTGTGAATTCATTAGTCATTGAAATAAACCAGAAAGAAGGAAGCATACTGGTTTTGTCTCAAGCTTTCCTAGCCCTTCCCTCTCCTTGGGCTTAAACGAGTCACCTACCTGCTCTAGTATACATCTTAGAATCTTCGTAACTTCGTAACTTTCTCTTTTGTGAGTTCTTTCATGCCTGGTTTGTGAGGAAGTGGAAGCAGGGAAGGTAGAAGAGGTAAAGAATGGAATTGCTGGAAAAAAAGAAAACTAAGAGAAAAGTCACTTACCAGGACCCATCATTCCCTTCACATTACTGTCTCCTACATGAACAGGTCTGGACTCTTGGGCTGCAGAGAAAGGAAAGCATCCATTCAGCGTTCATTCTACTAACATGGACTAAGCACCTTCCATGAGCCAGGTGCTTGGGGCAGACTCAGAGATTCTACAGTTTTATGGGGGAGGCAGAGCAGTAAAAAAAAATAATAATAATAGAAATTACAGTATAGTATGGCAAGTGCTATTTTCGCAGCAGTAAAAAGATACAATAGCGGTACTTACCTCAAAGATTACAATAAGAAATAAATAAGTTAATATTTGTAAACTGCTTGAAGTACTACCTGGCATATTATACCAGTTAAAGAGTTGTTTAACTATAATGGTGGTGGCAGTGGTATAATGGTAATAATAAAAAGAGACAGAATGATACTGTTAAAATGTAAAATGATACATGTTAAAATGTAAGCCAGCCTGGGCAACAAGACAAAACCCCCGTCTCATCCCCCACCTCCAAACCACAGAAATTAGCGGGGCATGGTGGTGTGCGCCTGTGGTCCCAGCTACTTGGGAGACTAAAATAGGAAGATCGCTCAAGCCCAAGAGGTTGAGGCTGCAGTGAGCCAAGATTGCCCCACTGCACTCCGGCCTGGGTAACAGATGTACCCTATGACAAAGCAATTAAACTCCAGTCTGGGTGGCAAGAGTGAAACTCTGTTTCAAAAACAAAAAAGAAAACCAGCAACAACCAAAAAACCCACTGAGGCTTCTGTATTGAGCATTCTTTTAGAACGCTTGCCCTGGGAGAGGCTAGCTGCCAAATTGTAAGGCAGCAACTTAGAGAGTCCCATGTTCCAAAAACTGGAGCCTGCCAATAACCATGTGAATAAGCTTGGATATAGATGCCCCTGAGTAGAGCGTTCACACGAGATGACCACCATAGCCAACACCTTGATTACAGCCTTAATGAGAGACCTTGAGCCAGAGGCACTCAGCTAAGCTGTGCACAGATTCCTGACTCAGAGAAACTGTGAACCATGAATGGTTGCTATTTTAAGCTACAGAATTTTGGGACGATAGATAATAGTTGTACTATTTTATCATTAACAGTGGATAAGCCAAGACTTTTTGAATGTTTGGTTCTTGAACCCTGAGTTTTAACACAAGCTGCCAAGTATGTGCAGAATGTCTTATCATAGCACATTAATCTTAAATTTCTGCAGCAACTCAGTAGCATAAACTATGACCATGTCTATGTAAGAGGAAAGGAAGGAGGGGTTGCCACTAAATAGTTCATTTAATTCATGTGGGCACTGAAATCATCTGGATCAGCTGTTTTCAGTGGATTCAACACATTCTGTGATTATTTATTTCCCTGGGGACTGTTTCACATTGTCTAAACATGTACAGGTTTACTTTGTAAAAATAATTTTTAACCTTTTATCTTGTGAACACGTTTAGCTGCACTGGCACTGAACTTTCACTTTCTAAGCCGATTGTATACTCTACTCTTTCCCAGCGACGCTCATCCTCTTATGTAGAGCTGTTCATGTCCTAGAGGAAAGAAAATAGAGCCACCTGCAATGAACCCAGTCCCCAGATGCATCAAGTGAGTTTTCCCAGGTTGTGCCTATCAGTTTCTCAATGAATTACTCAAACAGATAAAAAATAAAAATAAAAATAAAAAGGCAGGCTGGGCGCGGTGGCTCACACCTGTAATCCCAGCACGTTGGGAGGCTGAGGTGGGCAGATCACGAGGTCAGGAGTTGGAGACCAGACTGATCAACATAGTGAAACCATGTCTCCACTAAAAATGCAAAAAATTAGCCCGGTGTGGCAGCAGGTGCCTGTAATCACAGCTATTCAGAAGGCTGCGGCAGGAGAATCGCTTGAACCTGGGAGGCGGAGTTTGCAGTGAGCTGAGGATCCCACCATTGCACTCCAGCCCAGGCAACAGTGTGACTCTGACTCAAATAAAAAAAAACTTATTAGAGTAAGTGATTTTTTTTCTAATACTTCTCTGTTATGGGTTAGCATAGTATTGATTGCACAATAAATTATTTTAATTCAATTGAAATTTAGAAGTATCCAGATTAGCATTCCCCCACCTAAAAAAAAACATTTAAATTGAGCAAACTCTTGTGGCCTTTTAGATCCTCTGAATTCTCCTAAATTCCAGTTACAAGAGGAAAAATTCCAGGCAATACACCATTTTCCTCTAACAAAGATGAACGGGTTAAGCCCATTCTTAAGCCCTAGCAATCAGGAGAAAAATACTTGATTAATTCAGTATGATTTGTGAACTGTACCTTTTTCATAGGCCTGAGAAGGCAAAAGGTTGGTAAAGTCTTCGCTTGGAAGAACAGGCTCAGGGATATTGATTGAACGAAAAGGACTTCCTTGTGCTTGTGCAGGCCCGGCCTGTGAGCTGTGTTCTTCTTTCTGAGTTTTCCTAGGAAAGAGAAATAAAGACAAGGCAATTCTGGTTCTTAATATCTGATCTATTAGGAGGAGATTGAGCTCAGACTAACTCAAGAAAATGTCTGAATTATTAGGTTGAACGATATAAATTGCCATTTTTGAAAATTAAAAATGGTCAAATACTAGCAACTCATATGGTCCAACTTAATTCATCACCTCAGTTGGAGAAGAAAAAACCTTCTTATGTTTACAAATCACCCTTCTAATTATAATACCCACATTCTTATTTTTTTGTTACTGGCTTCCTTATCATCAGGATCTTCAGAGTTTGCAGTGGTGACAATTTGCTTGAGATGATTTACATTCACTTAGCAATACAACTCAGAAGTAGCAGAAAGCAGCAGGTCCTTTCCTGAAAATAGCCTATTCTCCAGGGTCACACACATATTATTCCTACAATTCTATTTTCAATTTGTTAATATTAAAAACACATAAGTAGGCTGAGCACTGTGGTTCACACCTGTAATCCCACCACTTTGGGAGGCCAAGCCAGGAGGATCACTTGAGCCCAGGAGTCCGAGACCAGCCTGGGAAAACATAGGGAGACCCCATTTCTACAATTTTTAAAAAAAATTAGCTAGCGTGGTGGCCGCACCTATAGTTCCAGCTACTCAGGAGATTGAGGTGGGAGAATCATTTGAGCCCAGGAGTTCAATGCTGCAGTGAGCTGTGATCATACTGCTACACTCCAGCATGGGCAACAGAGCAAGACTCTGTCTCAAAAAAAAAAAAAAAAAAAAAAAAAAAAAAAAAAAAAAAAAAAGAGAAAAGAAAAGAAAAAAGGAAAAACAAAACCACATAAGTAACAATAAAGACTATGTATGTTTAATGGTGAAACTTTACTTGATTCAACCTGGTCCAGGCATTGTTTAATATAAATTTATTTTCAACCCTAGAAGTAAAATAATAATTGCATTAGAGATATTTTAGAAAATTAATAAAAAAAGAAAATCACTGATGGTGCTATCTTAACACAAGCATCATTATTTTTAAGTATATCTTTCTAGTTGTTATTTTACATATTTTTACCCTTGTAATCAAAGCACTCATGTCATTTTATGTCACTTTCATTTTACATATCGTATTAAATGCATTTTTTTTACACAATAGGTACCACCCATCTTTGGTATTAGCCAATGTTATAATTCTATCAGCTTCATCGAATGCCAAGCCGTGAAGCACATTGGCCAGCTAGCTAGATACTGATAGTGGGGAAGCTGTTCTAGGTGCCTCTGCAGAAGCCATTGCTTATGAGTTTGCCTTCGGTACATTTTTAAAAGACACTCACTTGGCTTTAACTTTTCGAGATTCTCTTCGCTTCTCCTGTTGAAGCTGTTCGATTTTCTGTTGCATTTCTTCTTGTTTGGAAGTGATGGCTTGGATCATTGACATGGCATTGCTCAGCTCTTCCTAAAAAATAAGAATTGTTGTGTTTTAAACTGGCACCTGGGGTAAAAGTATATCACATAATCTAGCATACCATACACTTTTAATACCTATTTATTGAATAAATGAATGAATAAGATTAAACAAATTACTTCCATTGTGGCCTCAAATTTTAAGACAGAGCTCCAAAAAAGAAAACATGAAAGGTATTTTTCCATGATAATTATGAATGGCCCAGAGGAAAAATTCTTATATTTGGCTGCTATGGAGAAAGGCAAGTTTTCTACTCCTGTTACTTAGACCAAAATTCTCTTGTCAGCAAGGAAATAAAAGAGGGGCTTACCTTGAAATAGTTTAATGAATTCTTCATCTCGGTAACTTTTTCTTCCATGGAACATCTGCAGCTCTTAACCTTTTCTTCCAAAGCATATTCTCCATGTTGAATTCTTGACAGTTCTTGCATTGCTTCTGTGAAACCAGTTTTGAGTTCAGAGGCTAGGGCCTGCAACTAAATAATGCATGAAAAGTTAATTCAATTTGCTGAAAATTATAACAAGTGGAACCATCGGCCCTTGAATCTTTCCTTTGTTTGAGAAACGAGGCTTCTGAAAATCTACAGACCTCATTTACTAGTGTACTTCAGTTTGGACAACTTAAGACAACCCTGGCCCCATTCGTCTAAGAAAAAGAGTATCTTCTTTTTTTTTTTTTGAGACGGAGTTTCGCTCTTGTTACCCAGGCTGGAGTGCAATGGCGCGATCTCGGCTCACCGCAACCTCCGCCTCCTGGGTTCAGGCAATTCTCCTGCCCCAGCCTCCTGAGTCGCTGGGATTACAGGCACGCGCCACCAAGCCCAGCTAATTTTTTGTAGTTTTAGTAGAGATGGGGTTTCACCATGTTGACCAGGATGGTCTCGATCTCTTGACCTCGTGATCCACCCGCCTCGGCCTCCCACAGTGCTGGGATTACAGGCGCGAGCCACCACGCCCGGCCAAGAGTATCTTCTTTATACAGCACATGCTAAAGCTTGAAAAATGACAAGAAAGCAAGCCATTAATTAAGTTTACAAGTACTTCTGCAAGCTTCTATTTATTCTGACACCTTTGATTAAAATGAGATTTACTTGAAAAGAAACATGTATGTAAATCTTGATCCAATAACTCTTCAAAATCTGTGAAAGAAGAAAATGAGTCATGTTCTCTCTGGTTATTATAAGAAGTAAGGAAATTCAGTTCTTGCTTTCTTAAATTAAAAAACAGAGTAACAACCAAGCATAACTGAGAATTTATTTGAAAGAAAAGAAGTTTTTTTAAAAAAAATACTATTGGACGGTATCATGGGAAAAAGGAGGTAATGGTATTTTCAATGACGGTAGGCTTTAACTCATAAGAAAGGCACAGGAATATCTGATAGAAATGGTAGGAGCTCAGAATGTTGTTGATGGTGATATAAGTCATCTTCAGCAGTCAGTTCTGGTCATATAGGAGCTCACACACTGAACTTCTATTGTCAACTCCGACATCATGAAAGAGGTGTTCAATTTTGGATCAGGTAGGGTACAAATCCTAGTTCTGTCCTAAAGTACTAAGACCTTAGGCACGTTGTAGCATTTTTCTCATCCATCAAATAGGCATGATAATATCTATTTCACAGGGCTGTCTTGAAAATTAAATGCATAAATGTGGGTAAGCTGCCTACCACAGCATATACTTGGTGCATAGATGTTCAAGAAATGTTCACTCTTCTCCCCCGTTAGGTGGCAAATCAAAAAGTTAAGCACAAACAGAAATGTGGAGAAAATGAAGCACTTCTAAAGTTCAGTTTTATTTATTGAACAAATGAAAAAAACATTTTCAACAGACAGTAAGTTAATAATAACAATAAGATAATAACATTACTTTCTTGACATTTATGATCTTACACTCTGCTAGGTAGAGGCACTCTTAGCTCCACATGTCTCTTTAAAACAGAATCATTTAGAAGGCTTATTCTATAATCAAGTTTTGTTGTTATTGTTGTTGGGTTTTTTTTTTTTTTTTTTTT